ACATCCTACACATCAAGCCCTTACGATGGGTCAATAAATTGGGGTGCAACCCCATCAAAGAACCTGGACTACTCCACACAGGGCCAGGGGATGTTTTTCTAATGGTCCAGCGACTATGCGATCAACAGGAGTGGACATAGACAGTTCGGTATTAAAGTCTAAATTCGTATGTTTGAATCGGAGGGGGGGGGGGGGGGGGGGGGTGGGGATGGGGGGCATTTCAACAGAGGTGGCCTTGGGTTAAAATCCCTTCCACCCCCCCCCCCCCCCCCCCCCTGGTGACAAATCATTTAATGATTGTTAACCAATTTAAGCACATTGAGCTTGCTTTCTTAATGAGAAAGCGAACCTTCATCTTGTGGCGTACAGTGCATCCATTTATATAGGGGGTCCGGGCATGATACGGAAAACAGGCATCATAAATATTACATGGAAGAAAGACCAGGGTGTATTCCATATCGTGGGGGTGTCCGAAGGTGTCATTCATAGATCACCCCCCCCCCCCACCCTCTCTCCCCCTCTCTCTCTCTCTCTCTGGCTCTCTCTCTCTATCTGGCTCTCTCTCTATTCCCCCTCTCTCTCTCTCTTTCACCCTCTGATACTCTCTATCTGGCTCTCTCTCCCTATCTGGCTCTCTCTCTCTCTTCCCCCTCTCTCTCTTTCACCCTCTGATACTCTCTATCTGGCTCTCTCTCCCTATCTGGCTCTCTCTCTCTCTTCCCCCCTCTCTCTCTTTCACCCTCTGATACTCTCTATCTGGCTCTCTCTCCCTATCTGGCTCTCTCTCTCTCTCTCTCTTTCACCCTCTGATACTCTCTATCTGGCTCTCTCTCTCCCTATCTGGCTCTCTCTCTCTCTCTCTTTCACCCTCTGATACTCTCCCTTAAATTAAAAAAAAAAATCTAAATTTCAAGGGGGGAATGTTATCGATTTTCCTTTTATTTGCAATAGTTTTTCAATTTACTCTTCCTTAATATCATTTATACTTTACCAATTAACTGAAACTTCTTTGAGGGTGTACGAACGGGTCATAGATCACCCCCTTCTCCTCCTCTCTCTCTCTCTCTCTCTCTCTCTCTCTTTCTCTTTCACCATCTGATACTCTCCCTTAAATCTTTTTTACAATTCTCAAAATCAAGGGGGAATGTTATCGATTTTTCTTTTATTTGCGATAGTTTTTTCCATTTTCTCTTCCTTAATATCATTTATACTGTACCATTTTACTGAAACTTCTTTCGGCATGCAAAATTCGTTTAGATAACCGTTATGGAGTCATGATGTGTGTAAAACCTTTCTTGTTTTAAAATGTCTTTTACTTCTTCTTCTTTCATCTTGTTGAACAAAACGGAAGAATGGTCATTTATTTAGCTATTCTAGTTAGTTATTTATTGAACCAAATAGAACCAGATTGAACAGAATTAAATTGAATTGAATAGAATTGAATTGAATTGAATTGAATTAAATGAAATTGAATGGAATTGACTTAAATTGACTGGAATTGAATTAAATTGAACCGAATGAAATGAAATGGAATTAAATTAAATTGTATTTATTTAAATTTCATTGAATTCATTTGAATGAAATTGGATTGAATGTAATGGAATGGAATATTTAACAATAACACAACACAATTAAGAGAGTATATGAGCGATCATACAATGCAAAAGAATAATAATGATAAACAAATACGTAAAGGAAAAGTAATGTTGTTTGAACAGTAATGGCTTTACAAGGAGACATAGATCTGCATCACATTTCATGTACAAGATAATACACATAACCTTGTGTATTACATATAGGTGATGTTGTTAATGGGAACTAGAAGTTAGCACAAATGCTATTCGAACCTATTTCAAAGGCCTTAGGCAAGATCTATAGTTTTGTAATATATGCATGTTAACTTATTTGTTTTGTATTTAAATATATAAAATAACTTATGCAATAATCATGTAGCACTTTAACATTTCTTGAAAATATGAAAAAGAAAGTTGAAGTGCTAAAGCATTAATATGAAAGATAACAAACCTTTAAACAGATAATGATGAGTTTAATCTAGTTTCATCTGGGAGATCACTCAACAGCTTTGTTCCTACAAACAAAATAAAAATTGTTCTCGCGTTCTCTTACATTTTGGTTGATATGGTAGGGCACTTTCTTTTCTCCTTGTTGTATAACTAGAGTGAAGTGCTGTTTCATCCAACAATAACCTACTTAAGAGTGTGGTTATTTAGCTTTTACGAAATCATATATACATCTTGATACAAGAAGTTCATGAAGATGAAATACATTTAATATTTATATGCTTTGAAAAAGAGATTTGAGTCTGTTGTAAGTGGACTGAAAGTATAATTATGCTGTCATTGTAATTTTTAAAATTTAATATACTAATTTAGATTTATTTTTGCAAATGCTCCCCAAACTTTTACTCCGTAAGAGAGACGAGACTGTACAAAAGCCTCATATAGTAACACACACAAATTCTTAATAACAAAATGTCTCAGTTTAAACAGAATCCCTGCTTTCTTCCATATACAGTTGTATACTGTCTTAAATATTCATTTATCGATTGATTGATTAATAATAGTGATAACGATGATAATAGTGGTTTCTTTCTATTGAGCTCTTTATACGGAGAACTGTTTAACATGATATTATACAAATAATGCATTGTTGCGAGTGTGTTAGGGCAGGGCCAGTGCACGAAGTTTAGTCAGATAATGCATGCGCCCGCAGGCCAAGTGCATTATCGATATCGCACTGCCTGAGTGCCGCTGAGTGCACTGGAACTGCCCAAACACACGAGCAAAACAGTGCATATTTCGTGTTATATTACGGGTCGGCAATACATTCTTACAATACAGTAAAATTCTAGAGTATAGATATATATTATATCTAGATTTAGGCCTATAATATTATAACGTAAGATTCCAAGAAAAGATTTATGCACAAATTAAATTTGGCTGAATTACGCGAAAGCGATATCGGCAGATATCGAGCATTGGTTATTCTTTTTTGACGGTGGGAAAATTAAATGCACGGCCACGTGATGTCAAATGACCAATCGGATTGCTTATATTCTACAAACCGTCATGATTATGTAATGTTTATACATTCAAATTGTAACTAGTCAAGATCATATTGTCGAAGATAAAGAAATTTTGATATTGAGAAACTTTCTTTAAAACAACTATACACAGAGTGTAGTTTATTATAATATTGTGTGTCATTTGGCAGCAAATATATCTTGCTTTTAGTTCTATCACGCAGTGCAGTTATCGGGATCCATTGTTTATCTGAAGGTCATGTAGCGTTTAAAGAGGACTCGATGCGAGCAGAGAAGAATTAGGGAGGTAGATCAGAGAACATGTATCTGGTAGCATTCCAGATAAATCTTCTCCAAATGAAAGCCCAATTGATCAAATACAAGAATCACGATCGCAACTTTTTTCGAGAAAACAAACTAATGTGATTTAAGTACACTTTGTTGCACACTTCGAAATCATGTTCGGATTGAGTAACGTTCGCATAAGGATTCCGAAAATGTCTTCAGTTGAGTTTCTTAAAAATAGTTGAATCGTGTTAGAAATGAATCATTAACAGCGTTGAACTTGAACAGCAGCGAGACAAGTTTAAAGTTCAGACTGACAAACTCTTTGTTACTATAGCAACGATAGTCATGTGCTCTGCAAACACTTATTGATGATGATTGTAATCGTCTAGTTTTATTTCAGGCTGTTTAGACCTTTTAAAGATACCATTCACAACTAAGACATTTTAATAATCTCTCTCTATCACACACACACACACACACACACGCATGATTTTTTTTCTTCCCGAAATACTTAGTTCAATGTTCTAGGAAGTCTACATAATCCAGGAACTACCACATCCAATAATAATTTGATCATGCAAAACTGCCATTATCGTAACGGGATAAAGAAATATATATACTCTCCAGTTTTCAGAATATGCATTAGTTGTCTAAAGATAAAGGAGGCGCAATAGCTCAGTCGGTAGAGCAGTGGTCCTGTAATCCGGTGACCTGTGTTCGAAACCAAGGCGATGCGCTCGTGCCCTTTGGTAAGTCATTAATCCTTATTACCAGGTCCCTCGGAGAGGATCTAAAGCCATCGGTCGTCTGGTTGCTTACTAACACGCATCTATGCTTTCTTAGTAGTCAGGTAAAATAAACACCACTATTACCACAAGATAAATAGCAAACACCGTATACTTTTTTAATTTAAAGATTTTTAATGATAGGAAAACAAATAATATTAGTACAGGGAATATTATTTATGCCTACACTATTGCATTTATAGAAAACTACAACTACCTCTTATTTAATAGTTATATAATTCAGTGCATATATTTCTTTCCGGCCTACACTATTGCATTTATACGAAACTTCAACTAAGTGCCTTCTCCCTTGGGGCACTGATTGAATACATATTGTGGATAGCAATATGTCCTCTAAAGAGAACAGACCCTCCTGCGGCATAGTTTTTTGAAAAATTTGAATTTTAGTCATTTTGTGTTTTGGAACAAAGAGAAAAGGTGTCCGCCACTACACAATACTGACATTACCGATTCAGTCAATCTGAAGAGTCTATACCTGTAGTGATATAGCAAAAGATGCATCAGTATGTTACTACATTTTCGAGGACACATATCTTATTATAATATATCATGCCGAGTACGACCTGGAAATTACTGTATTACCAAGGACCTACTGTCCAGTTTATAAACATTAATCTGTACCCGTGTTAGAAGGGTTGTCATGGAGGCTTGATGACCAACATTATATAATTTTTCAAAGTCACTGCGTTGCACAAAGCAATCCCTCCGTCAAATGATGCCTATTGTTTTGCGCACAATCGCACGAGTGGCAAACGTGTAAAGAAATAAAACTGATTTTGTTTCGACAACTGTGGGTAAAAGACCTAAATACTGAATAATATAATAGTCTTTACATAATCTTACAACAAAATAGTTTTTATTATCTACACGTATATACACATATCTTCGTAAGTGTCTTCCAGATCTGATTTTGTGCTATCTGGATAGGGTATGTTGATGGTGGGTTTCTTTAGACATTGATAGGTATGGGGGTCGGTATCAGTATTAAGGTCTTCGTAAATATTGGGGTCTTGGTTGGAGTTGTCAAATGCATGATTCTCATGCTTAGATGAGATCTCACGTGCATTGTCTGGTGGCGACGGTTCGGCCGTTAAACGCCTTTGTTTTTTCCTGGAAGTGAAATAGAAACAAATATTTATTTCCTTCTTCTCTGTAACGACATTGTGAGTACATGTACACACACAAACGCACGCACACACACCCACACACTCAAAGTTCAAATACAAGTGAAGTAGAAAAGGACTCTTATTATCATAATAGCTGCATGTGTGTGATTGTGGATGTACATTATAATACAATACCTTTAAACACATTATAAACAATTCATTGTATATATTGATGGCCTTAAGAAAAATAATAATAACTAATAATATTCCGTTTTTATACAACGCTTAATACCAATGTATCTAAGCGCTTTACAAATATACTATTACACCGGTCATTGGATTCAATACTTGCCCGCATACGGAAAATCTTGCAATCACTTTGTCCATTAGCGTTTTGTCTCACTTCAGATTGTCAAGTATTTGACCCTTTTTAACGTCTAATTTTGTGTTCAAAGAGTTCATTACTGACCAAAGGTAGTGTACTGTAATTTATGATAACCTAAACACGCATCAGTTTAAAGGAAAACCACTGAGGGTGATATCAAATCTATAATTTAATTTATGTTAAAAATATATTGAGTCATACTATAGTTTTGTTTTCGTTATCATCTGTCTGTTTACAGTGTATTTTAACTATTTTAATGACCTTACTAGATAACGGTCTCCCTGTCACTTACCTTCTAAAGATGACGAGAATGAGAATAATGACCAGGATGATATTAATGAGGGAAGCCATGGAACCCCATATTATCAGTCCAACTGATGCACTGGGAGAGCCACCTATCGTGTTGTAATCATAAATGAAACATGACTCATACAATGTACCAATCAAATATAGGAATGCGGTGGCTCCTGTATTAAAGTCTAGGGAGAATGGGGAAATTCATCTTCATTATTTTATATATTCATTTTGTGTGTGTATATTCATGTATTGTGCAATCAGGTACATTAGCCACGTAAAGTATCAGCAGATGTTGGCAATATTGACAGCTGGTCACATCATCGGTTCCTATGAGTAAAGATTGGATCGCTCCTGTTAAGGAATTCAAAAGCATGTCTTGGAGGAATAATGTGCTCTAAACGTATGTGTTTAGAACTTACGACTTACAAATGATAAACCCTTGCCATGGGTTGTTTGCTGTCCATAGATCCCCCCTTTTCCATAATTTGTGGGATCTCAGGGACTACAAATCAATTACAAGTGACATTCTGTGTTAAAACTATTGATCTTAGTTTGTTCGTGGATGGAAGGTTAAAAAGAAGTGCATGTAGCGTTGCTGTAAAAGGGTATTTATAGTATTGTGTATATTAGCGATTTAATATAAAGTAAACGGTAAAAGGCTATGTCTGTTAGACCATTTGTGCAACAGCGTTACGAATTAAGGGATAGGTTTACGCAGATTTGGTTAAAGTAATATAAATAGTTAACTGATTTTCAATTCTTCAGTTTGATTCAAAACGCTTGTTTTGTTGCTTATTTGAGCTCCAAATATATGGGAATAAAGTACCTTACGCAGATAAATGTTTGTTTCTGTGTCAGGAAGTAAAACATAACAATTCTTAGTTCGAAAAAGTGTTTGCAGACATTCTTGGGCAAAATGTGCCATCCATGGAACAGAAGGAACTAAAGAATGACAAGTTATGTCCACCTTATATCATTCAAGTTGAGATAGAACTTTGTGATACACTTCTTAACACATTGCTTTTATTTTTTTATATTTTATTTGCTTTTTGTTTTGTTTTGCTTAACACATTGCTTTTAGTTATGCGAAACATATGGTTCCAGTATACTAAAACAGGGCCCTATGATTGTCAATTATACATGTATGTTGTTCCTATGTTCATATGTTGAAGCAAGATTGTTAATGTAAATACAAACAATTATCCTATATGGACACAATAAAGATATGAAATGAAATGAAATGTGGGAATGAGTAAAATTTAGTAGTCAAATTTTAAATTATTATGGAAAAAGGTTTAAAGTACGAACACAATATTGATCAGCCTTATAATGCTCTTACCTGACTGTATAGTCTTAGCATTCACAGGTTCTGACCAATTACTAGAACCAGCTCCATTCACGGTCAGTACCTATATAATTAAACATGGATATCATTACTAAAATAGTTCTATAAAAAAAAATTCTTAACAATGAACGATATCGTTTCTGATTCTTTTAGAGACTTAATTGTGATTCGCGCTATATAAAAGCTGAATATTATTATTATTATTTACTAAAAGCATACCTACAGCTGTCCTTTTAGAAGCCAAGTGAGTTCAATTCTCAGACCCCTTCCTCTCCCCCCCCCCCAAACAAAACAAAATAGCTGTCATCGTTTGGTTTAGGCATCGCATCTCATGTGCGGATTCTCAAAAAGGATATTTGACAAAACATGCTCATCAATGTGTGTCAAATTTATAGGGCAATTTACCAGTCTGAATTTAGTGCTCGTGTCCTCTGAGTGCATCCATTGTTAAGTACATTCAAGTCAATTGCATCTAAATACAGCTACCCCAGTCAATAGTGAATGGTATACTTGCATAGTTGACCACTATAAAGCAGGGCTCCTACTTAGCCGAGTTGGAACCTCGAGTTGTGGCGAGCTGGCGCGATCTTATGGCAAGCCGTTTTATTATTAATTGTTATTAAGAAATAAATTCTTGATATCAAGAAATAATTTTACGTTGTAAAGCAATGGTAATTCTTGATATCAGGAATTCGATTTCGTGATATCAAGAAATATGTTTTAATGATAAAACTGCTTGCCATAAGATCGCGCCAGCTCGCCACAACTCGAGGCTCCAACTCGGCTAAATGGGAGCCCTGCTTTAAGTATATGCATTATTACAGCATTGATTAAAGTCAGCATTTTTCCCTCTTACGAGGGATTACTGACTATCACGCCCTTCCTTCACTTCTTCTTGTCTCAAGCATCCTCCTCATTTAGACCAACCCCACTCGGTTTTCTTTATATCTTTCTGTCAAATATTGATCTTCCTTTCCCTCTTATGCCATCCACTTCCAGAACCCACGCTCTTTTCACATGTTCATCATCTTTACTTCTCAAGCAAGACCCGTCCATGCTAATCCTCTCCTATTCACCACTTCCCAACAGTTTTTTTACAGGCCCAACCTTTCCATGCCGTATATAAATGCATACAAGTACATGACATGTATTACCTGAACTGAGTAGATGGTCTTTGCTATCAGGTCTATAACAGTATGCTCTCCTTCAAACGCACCATTCGATACTTCCTCCATCTTATAGCCACCATCAGTAACGAGATCAGTTCGCTTGTAGCGGATAATATACTTCTGGATGTTACCATTCAAGTTAGATGGTAGAGGGGTAGACCAGGATACAGTGAAGGAGCTTGTAGTACTCTGTGGTATAGCCACATTGATAGGACTAGGTGCAACTGTTAATGGAAAGCAGATAATAAGAGTCTTTATTAACAAACTTGTATGAACTTTGTATTAGATCATTTACATGATTGTACATATTAATCGTATGGGACAGGTCTCAAGATATCCCAGGATAGGGTCTAAAAATGTATATTCAATTCAGACTGTATACAACTGAATAATATTGATTGTATCTCATTTGCAAACATAACAATAATTGCGGATAGTCTTACTGCTCCTATCATTCCCCTCATGGGAAATGTGTTTAACTCTAACAATATCAAAATAAATAACAGCGCTTTGCACATCTTTTCTATATATATCAGAATAAGAATTTTTTCGTTACAACAATCCAAGAAAACTAGCTGATGAAGTCTCACTTTCTTCAACTGTTTTGCCGATAGTCTCACTGCTCCTATCACTCTCCTCGTCTTTATTTGATGCAGTTATTTGAATGGTATAGTCCAGATAGGTATCCAAACCTCTTATCGTGTAGGAGCTAGTGTCATTAGGAACCATGAGAGAGTTTGAAGAAGTTGATCCACTAGAAGCATAGTAGATCATATAATGAGTCACTCCACTCCTGCATTCTGCTGATTCTGAGGGGAGGTGCTGAAACATAAAGGTGCAAATACATGTTACATGCATCACAACTAAGATACTTTCACACTAGTAAACAATACTAAAAGATGTTATCATATTTTAACAACAGTTTCTCGCATTAATAAGGATGCTGCAATAAAGGTGATGGAGCATTCTGCTCAACCAAAACCCCTTGATCACAGAACATCTTTATATAAGCTTCCTACTTTGAAATTACATCAAAATTGTATTTTATAAACCCCAAAACACACACTCCCATCTTGCGAACTGAAAATGAATACACCTGTATTCAATTACGAAACATTTCATTTAATCACATGTTGAAGTACGTAAATAATGTCAAAGGCGTAATAGTGAAGTAAGTAAATTAAACGTTCATATTTGACATATCTCGATTAAATTGTAGGTAAACTTAGATTTAATCTGGGTAGTACATTATATTTACCAGCTCTATGGCCTAACAGTGTGGTTTTACCTCAATACAATCTATTGTGACTATCAACAGTTATGCATTTTGCATTTCACTAAGTGACCAAACAGCCATTCTTAAACAGTTCATACCTCCCATGTCACCTCTAGCTCTTTCGGGTTGATGGTTGAAACTTGAAGTCCAGTTGGAGAAGCACTGGGTTCTGAAGTTTAAAATTATATATAAGATACTAAATGGCTTTGATCTATAGTAGATGATGTCATTAGAAGTATATGCAGGTCATGGCAAAATCATGCAATGCTCTGACATGTACTATTTGTGTGGCTCTAAATTAAAAGTTTAAACAAAATATGAAACTGCCATCGGGCAAAACACAATGAGGGTCACTATAAATATTATTTTGGGAAATGCATGTTTTGTAGAAGGAATTGTTTTTATCACATTTTTTCTAAAGACAGAAAAATCAGATAATGAAATGTATGGAATGAAAAATATAAACATTTTTATGTGACCGATGATAATCTTAAGACCCTTCAATCCAATGTAAAGCGCATAAATATTCTAATTGTATGTATACATCATTTACTTATAATGTTATACGTGTACTTTGACAAATAACCATTTTCAAATGTTTTATTCTGTACTCTGAAATCATGACAAATCCTTGGCTGATTTGATAATTTATCTTCTGAGTAAACTTACTTCTACAGCGAGTTATTGCTTCGCTACTAGGAGACACAGGTCCTGTTCCACCGGTTCCTTCCCTCACTGCTGCTACACGAAACATGTAATCTGTGTCTGGTGTCAGGTTACTAACGATGGCTGATGTTGTGGGTTGATCTACTCTCTGATCCGTTACCACTTCACCATCCTCCTCTACAAAGACATCATATCCTACCAGAGGAGGATCACCTATGTCATCTTCTCCAGACCATGCATGCCATCGAAGACCTACTGTAGTTGAGGTGGTGCTCACTATCACTGGTGCTTTCTCAATGACTGGCAGAACTGACAAAAATAACCGTTTAAATCAATGACACACCTATAATTGAAGTTCTTCTATCTAGTCAATATGTCTAGCATTTACCAAAGTACACAAGAAAACTAACAACATAACTGATGCAATCCCTTGTAACCCGGCCTCTATGCAGACAGCGTGACTGGAAACGATAATACATTTAAGATATTTAATTATTATAGATATGTTGACTGCTACGAAAGGCCTGGCTGTTGTATACGCCTAAGGGGACGTTGCCTCCTCCCATGACCCCGAGGCGCGCCTGGATGGGTGGCGCGCCGAGGGTACATGGAACGATGCAACGTTCCCGAGAGGGGGGGGGGGGGGGGGGGGGGGGGGGGGGGGGGGGGGGGGGGGGGGGGGGGAAGCGGACACTTTTTTTTTTTTTTTGGTCTCAACATTTCAAAATTTGACATTTTTTTACGTATGGGGGGGGGGGGGGTAGGGTCACCTTATTTAGGTTAGCTGTGGGTATAATTTTTTTTTATTTTTTTTTTTTATTTAAATAAGAAAAAAAAAAAAAAAGCCAAAGGGGGGGGGGGGGGGGGGGGCTTTTTTAGGGGGGTTTACATACATGAAAATACCAAAGGGGGGGGGGGGTTTGAACCCCCAAAACACCCCCCCCCCCCTGCGTACGCCCCTGGGTTCACTCTCACTGGAACCAATCTTGATATTCCTATCAAGAATTAAACCATATATCAAATATCAAACTATGCACATTAACACAGAGCAAACTTTAACCCAAACCTAAAGGGGGCGCTATAGCGATAGAGGAGTTAGATTAACTTGTAACCTTAGGATGGTTATTAGTGTGACATTGTAGAATAGAATAAGTCTCGACTTTTGAGGTACTGGTTTGTTAATATAATCGCCTATGTTACCGATGGTATGCCAGGGAAGGGTACACAAGGCCTGGCCTTAAATTTCTGCATTATATATATACACAGGTGTTTATTTTCGATAAAATGTCCCATTTATGTTAGACAATAAACTGTTTTTTCAGGGGATTTAGCGTTCTTGTGGGGCTGTAGGCACCTCCTACTTTCTCCGGTTCACAGTCAGTGCCACTCTAGTCATTGGTTATATCTAATTTAATTTATAACTCCTCTCTTAATTGTAAGGTTGAAACAATCTCGAGGTCGGTGGCATATCTACATATCCTATTTTGTAATTGGTTGTGTTCCGATTGGCTATAGTACTATCATGTGTTATCCAAGAGTTGCCTTGCGCATGAATAGTTAAGGGCCATGTGCATGAGTTTATTTGGGCCAGTTAAGTTTGATCCATTTTAGAATTAAGGTGTGCTGCTAAATTATCATGATCTATAGGGCCGCCCAGCCTCTGAGAGAATATTTATTATTCAATTTGAAAAAATGAATAATGTTCGTTTTAATTACTGGAACTTCGGCCAAGTTTGTAGCGATAAGTAAGTAAAATAATTATTAATTAATAAAATTGGACTTCAACTGTATTTTCGAGCCTGTTTCGTCTTTATTTTGACTCTGAAGATTAAACCGCTGACCCATTACAATATCAATGCAATACTCCTGGCAAGCAAATCATTTATGTACTTTAAAACCAATCACTATTATTAATCACGATGTCTATCCACTTGAAAAAAAACTATTTTGTACAACAAAGATTATCCGATAACAGATAAACACTTGGGATTAAAAAAGATTTTGTGTTGAATGTTTTACTACACACCTGCACTCACTGCATGTGTAGTATGGGAAATTTCTTAAATAAAAAGATTGCACTAAATGTTTGCATAAAGATAAACAATACACATAGGTATACAAACTCGTTTGTATACTTACGTGTACGTGCCTCTCCAAAATAAGAACCGATAATGATGATAATAACAATTAAAAAAACAATAATAACAATTATTTGCAAAGTGCCAGTTGCCGCCAGATAGGGATGTTCATGGTGCTATACAAATAAATTAGCTTAAACTAAGTTAAAAGAAAATTAAATACATGCAGACATAGCTCCATATGCATACTGAGGTTGTTTTTAATCTTTATCATTTTAAGCTGAACGAACCAAAACATAATATGCTGGGTATAATTACTTTGACAGTACGGATCAATCCAGCCTTCATGGCATTGTCCCTTGCAAACACCCCTCTCCGTTTCGCAAGTCTCTGGAGCACAATGACATTGCTGAAGACAATCCAAACCAAAGGTACCCCCTTCACACTCTAAAATATAAAAAACAAAATAGTAAGGTCACATATTAGAAACAAATGGTAAAACAATCGTACTGTAACAACAATTTTAAACAGTAGAAAGCAAAGCCCTGAGTAATTTGTCCTGGAGTGTAATGGAAGCGTGTTACACCAAAATCAAACACGTTTCCATCAAATGATGTTAAATAATTATATTCCCATCTTGATTCCTCCTAATTCAAAAAGTGTTTACATAAAGTTTTCACTCCGGACATGATCACTTACGTCAACCATAATACAAAACTTTTTTGTGCTCTCTCGAATTTGCAATCACCATATTTGTCATGTCTTCAATTTGTGTTAAGGCCCCACAAATAAACAGTTTGTCTAAAGCAAATCAAATATGGCTTGTTTTGGACAACTATGTGATCAATATTTGAGACTAAATGATGAACGTAGATATATTTTGCATTTTGTCAACAGCATATCAAGATTCTAGGTACCTGATTGGTCAGAACTGCAGACATAAATTTCACCACTGACTGCTGTGCAGGAAAGCAAATATATATTTATATATAGATACGCATAAAGTTATCAATGGATACACGCAGTTAGCAAACACCCTTATTTCAGAATGTCAAACTTTACCTCCATAAATGCTTTGTCAAGATATCTTTTGGGTGAATCCACGCAATGATTAAGATATATTAAACAAATATTTACTGCGATTTCTTTTAACTCACGATTTAAAACTATACTACATGTAACATGTAGCTCTTCGGTGTTCTCGAGACTGCACTATGCCCTTCAATTTGTCTCGGGGCACAGTACAGTTTCAAGATGACTTTGGGCGTATAGTCACCATAGTAACCATGCCTTTCGAGAAAGTCAATATTTGTCTAATAGAAACCCCCTGCACAGTAATTATTTTAATAATGTGTTTACGATCCCATCACTATGAAGATATATGTGTTTGATATAACAACTGCACATACAAGTACTTATTAGTGTTCATACAGGTGTACTTACAAACAAAATACCATGTGTGTCAAGCACGCTGTACCATTCATGTATGGACATGTTGTATTTATTCTGGAGATAAATAAATAGGAATTGATATGGAAAATTCAACACCCTTTATTGAAAATGGTATTTTACCTTGACATTTGACCTGGCCACTGCGTACTTTGTATCCTAGAGCACACTTCTGCTCAGGGCACTCTCCAGTCTGTTTATCACATGGTTCATCATTCAAGCAATAACATTTATCAGTGCATTGAGATCCAAAGTAACCAGCTTCACATTCATCTGGAACTGAGGTTGATAAGAAAATATCTTAAAATCACAAGTAGCAAGTACTACAATCAAATAATATTACCTCATCAAAACTAGTTTGTTGCCTTACAAATATGTATCTAAATTATTTGTATTATCGATGTCAATTACTACACATTCTCTAAAAATTTAACAGTGCATTCATTAAATATATGTGTGTATTTTAAGAAGAAAAAATCATCTCCTCTATTACAAAACATGATATGGACCTTGAGCAGATAGGCCTGGTGCTAAACAAGATATCCTATAATGTCGTCCATTCGTCTGCTACTACTAGTACTATTACTACTACTACAACTAATAAAAATAATAATGAAAATGAATTATATGGGATGAGTTGTTAGAAAACACAGAGTAGGTTTGTCTACAAAAAATAGAAAATACAATAACTTCAAATTGACCCATTCGTCGCTGTTTTCACGAAGTGACGGTAGTGAACAAAAATTGCATTCACTTTGCGTTACGATTTTCCTCACTACCGTCACTTCGTGAAAACAAGGACGCATTGTCAACTGAATTATCCTTTTCCACACGGGTATAATACAGGAGCCATCGAGTTATGTAGGCAATGGGGTTAACAAATAAAAAAATAAATAAAAAAAATATATATATTATATAGCTGCAGTGTACATGCACAATTCTGATCTATCTTATTTGGGGATAGCATGTATGTAATATTATATTGATATCATTGCTGACCATGACTTACTTTGACAGTTATCCCCAGACCAGCCAGTCTCACATCCACCTGTACAATTTCCACTATAAATATTACATGATGAACCTACTGCACAGTGACATGTCTGGGTACATCCTGGACCATATGTATCATGAGTACATACTGTAATATAATTCAAAATACAAAACAAGGATTAAAAGATACAATACATTCATCATAAAGAAATGTTGTGCATTTTATAATAACCCCTATTTTTCCTTTTTGTTCTTTTGTATACTTCTTCTTAATTCCCTCTTTCCTTCTACTTCTTCTACTTCTTCTCTTTGTCTTGTCCTTATTCTCCTCTGAGTTGCGCCTGGCCTCACTCATGAATCCAGCCATTTTGTGGTATATGCTTTTGATATTCTAAGAAAAACTTGAAATTCCGAGATAGTAGATGTTTCATAACTTTGAGGCCTATATATTTTCACTATTAAAACTTGAGCAACATTAAATGCCTTTCTGAGTACTTACGTGTGGTACATGCAAGACCATGAGCACCAACGTCACATGAACATCCATAAGGATCAGGTAGGCAAAAGAGTTTCCCATGGCATTGTGTGGGAGTATCAACGCTATATGAACATTGAAACTCGCAGTTAATTCCAAATCGATTTCCACTATCAGTTCTACAAACTGGAAAAAAATGTTGCATTGTTGAATTAAAACCTTATAGACTTTAATAGGAAATGAGATTTTATGAGATAAATTTTAAATATGGTGTCTAATGATTCATGAACATAATAGTTTTTACTACATTGAAAAGAACCCTCAAATACCATGGATAAAAAATAATTGTCGATCATAAGCATTAATCTTATTGAGACATATTTTTGGACATTATTTATATATTTTGTATGGTATAAAGGAATAAAAAGGAGAATTTTTTTTATTTTCCCTGCTGTATCTTATTTCACATTTTTTTTATTTAATGATTAACTTGATGTATATACATATGCTGTGGTGTACATGGAGAATAATCCGCAGCTCTGGTAGAGAGGTTTACTTCACAAATACAAAGTCACCTTACGTTATATAACCGACTGATAATAGTACATGAGAAATGTTACATTATAACAAATCACACAAAAAAGGTGGTAAATCACATTAATCTGTGACGATTCCTTGTCAAATAAATAAGTACTAGTACATATATACAAATGGTAAAAGACATGATGTATAACACTATTTTGATTTCTCTATCTTCTCGTCAGGTAGAAGAAAGACATACTTGAAATGAATATGTTGAACAGATCCACATTACTCTGTTCAATTTCAATTGAATAAGACAATAAATATTTTCCTCAATTAATCTATTAAGAGATAAAACAAAATAAACATCGTTCCACATGGAGTTCTACAGGCCTACTTACCTTCTAAACAATTCGGTCCCTTGAAGTTGTTCGGACAGATACATAGACCAGACTTGGCATTACAGATTCCACCATTGTAGCATTTATCACAGATACCATAACACTCAGGGGGACCCCACTTACCAGCATGGCATTCTAATATGAGAAAGGAAGAGAGAAAAGAATCACGTAAATACATGTCACTTTAAGATAACATCATAACAAATATGATAATGAATAGAAAATAAGCAGGGTAAATAAAATGGAAGTAGACAGTTGAAAAGTTGTTTACACAATAATGTTCTCGAACGTAGACCTATATCATTGGCTATGTTACGTATTTTCAAATCACATAACAGATCATGACTAGCTATACACTGGAATATTATCATTTGAAGCTTCATGAATTTTTTGAACATTTTTTTGCAAAGTGAAAAAGCTGTCTATCATACAGTAATATGCCGTTCCAAAAGATCACACTTCAACATTATCTACAAGAATACTTTAGGCTATCATTGTTCCGAAATGTTCACATTATTTGTTCATAAATAATGAAATATAAAAGAAAACGTAAAGATCATCATCCACATGTGAATTGCACAATCCAATGAATCTTTTGGCAAAATATGAAGCAATAACTTATACATATTCGTAACAATCAATATTATATTGGATAAGAAATAACCCCTCTCAGAAAACCGAATGTGATATAAACAGGAATACACTTAAAATGTACCTCTGACGATGAGTCTGTATAGTCCTCCTCTACTTTGATGCCTCTCGTTATTATAGTAGATCTCATAGAATCCTTGGTCTGATGTCTGGATTTGGTTTGGGAAGCTGATTCGAGTCTGCCCATCAAATGATGTAAGAACCTCACTTCCATCTTTCATCCAAGTAATCGCGTTGTCACTCGCATCGGGATCATAACGTCTAGTCATGTTGATC